ATGAAATACGGTAAATGGTATACTATAATTTGTGCATGTGCATTTTGCAACTCTCAGTTCTCAGTGAACTCTATTTGTTGGCCACTTGGACTGTCATTGGCCATTGGCCATTGGCCGGTCATTGGGTTTTTAGATACATGCAACCATACGAAATGAGTATAAAAAGCATTGACGGCATAAATATCCTTAATTTGCAAAAGTAGTACGATTACATTACTGGGACATCACGCTTCGAAATCAGATTTTGATACAATCAACTATTTCAAGCAATATTTTCCTCTATGCTTATGAAAATATAGTATGGTTCTCCAGATATCGGGCTTTAAAGTTGTACGTTTTTACGTGGAAAATGCCAACAACAGGTACTGATGTTTTGCCAAAGGTTCAAAGTGGTTTTTAAACATTGAGTTTCCTATACTGTAACACAATGGTTCAATAGGCCTAAGTGGATCCTAAGGATCCCCGGTATAACCTATCCTAACCTACGTACAAAGTGCCAACAATAGCTACTGATGTTATTACAATTTTAAACACAGTATAGTTCAATATTAAATCAGTTAATGGATGCACATTTTTATCATGGCGCTTGACACGTTTACTTCAAATTTCAACGAAGGCTTTGAAGTTGGAAATAAATCCGGATTTTTTTGTAAATCCGAAGTCTTAAAATATCTGGATTTGTGGATATTTTAAATATTATATAAAATATATTTGTAGGAATTTGATAATATTAATATTTATGGATTTTATTAGTAATGGAAATTTTATTAAAGTTTTCATTTTTCCTTTTTTAAAAAAAATTATATCACAAATTAAAACCTTCAAAATTAGTTATGTAAAAATGAGTTATGCTCTTATGCATAAATTTTTGGTCTGTTGACCTGTGGTGACCACGCGGGGAAGCGCAAATTTATTTTGCATAATAAAATTTTGATTTTTTTGTTGTAGTTAATCTTGTTGTTAGTATTTATGGAAGATTTTTAAATCCCTATTTCTAGGAAAAAAAGTGAGATATACATAAGGGGTATTCACTCTCTCTTGCATGCTGCATGAAATGCAAGAATGCTATACAAAAACTGCAAGAGTTAGAAAACACCTCTGTTGCACAATTGCATCATCACAATGATGATATCAGCTGGTTTTGCAGCCGTATCACTTCAGGGGTATTCACTCTCTCTTGCAAGGTGCACGAAATGCAAGAATGCTATACAAAAACTGCAAGAGTTAGGAAACACCTCTGTTGCACAATTGCATCATCAAAATATAATAATGAAATCAGCTGGGTTTGCAGCCGTATCACATTGAGCAAAGAAAAATAAATGCATAACAATACAGCGAACAAGTGAAACACAAAAATGTATAGATATTTTAATTGAAAATAGTGCTTTTAATATCCTGACTGAAGGTATTAACATATAACATACAAATTCTGCTTCCTACTGCAGAAATTCTATTGTTTGAAGCACTCCCCGCTCCGTCCATTTCTTGTGCGGCTGCAATCTTTTCTTTTTACTTGCTGATTTTTATCTGAGAATAATTAGAAAATTTTAAATAAGCAAAATTCGTATAATATGTTATTTTAACAAAGTCACCTTTCGCTACCACACTCAAATTTAACAATGAGAAGCAACAAATGTCAAAACAGCTGTTTTCTGCCATTTTTGTTTTGTTGCAAACAAATATACATAGGTTTTAGTATAGGAAGATTGCAAGCCATTGCATCACAAGCATTTGTGCGTGTATTTTGTTGTTTTTAATTACACGCTCGTACAATCCGTGCATTCAATGCACCTTGCTATGGGTTTGCAAGAGAGAGTGAATACCCTTAATAATATATCACTCAATAAGTCGTGTGACTAACTAAGGAAAACAAATTTTTTCTGCAAAAAATCGATTTTACTTATCAATATTGTTGTTTTTGATCGACTGTGAGTAAAGTTTGAAAAGAGCTTTCTTATGGTCAAATGTTCATGCCTAATTGTAAACACACTGCCTTTTGATACCTTTACGGTTTCAGGTATCTCACGCTATTTCAATTTAGGATCAGATATAACCATTTCCTGGACTTTTTTGATGTTTTCTAGAGCAACTACCTGAACGTTCATCATCATCGGTGTCTGTACGACCACATTTAAATTCAGCTACCAATAACAAATGGTTTTTTTCGATGGAGCAGAGTCCGATAACACTTTTGAAGCCATTGCTGAGCTTGTACAGTATTTTTTTCATCAAGAAGCAATGATAAACTAACACACGAAATTGTTTTGAATCCATTGTTTTGAAAATAACAAAAGTAGCTACACTTAAATGGCTGTTTTTTCTGACTAATCGAAATGTTATGACATTTTGCACATAGTCTTTTGAAGGTTGGTTCTTCATAAACGTCATATGGATTTAACAATGGCAGCGCCATCTCTGTGTCAGTCACACGACTCATTGAGTGATGTGTTATAATATAAAATATGTATTTTATATTATATTTAAAATTTTCATTGATATAATTTTTTGAAAATAAATTATAAATTTAACTTATTTAAAATGTAATTTTTTATTTAATAATATGTAGTAAAATAAATAAAATAAAATTTTCTGCATAAAATACCAAAAAAAACACAAAATCATGCAAACAAAGCAAATTCTATCATCTCTAAAGTAACTTGTGTGATGCACTTTAAGTTTTGCTCACGAAGTCTTCGAACATTTTCACTGCGATAAAAACCGCAAATCCGGATATTCGAGTCTTCGGATTTACAAAAAATCCGGATTTATTTCCAACTTCGAAGACTTAGTTTACTATTCGATTAATCGGGTTCTTCAATTATTTCGTAAAACCGAATACGAACAGCAGTAGTTAATATACTATTTGACTAGTTATATTTTTGGAGGTTCTATGTTAAGATTAACTTCAATTGTACAATTCTTCTTTTATCATGATTAATTAGGGCTATCCAAAAACCGTTTTAGGAAATAGGAACCTAAGTTTCTATGAATGTTATATTTTAATTCTTGGTTTAATACATGATTGAAAAATAAGAGGAATGAAGAGTTTTCAGTTTTCCTAACTAAATTTTGTTGTAAATTGCTTTATTCATATTTGCATTAATTTTAATGACAAACTCTGTTAACTGTTTGAAGCGTAATTATAAATTTATAGACATTCCAGTGGTACGTATAGTATATACAGTTCATATAGAATTATGTACGCTTATAATTTTGTATGCAATTTAAAAGTTCAGTATTAATAATGTTAATTTATGTACTTAACACGAAAGTTAATTATTGAATGTATTGGGTTTACATACAAAAAAATTTATTTTTATTTAACGATCACGATGAGTACATTAATTTTGTGTGATAAAAGAATTTATTTTAAAACATTAAGACTCAATTAACTTGTATACATAAATACAAATATACATCCTGATAAATGATTTTCAATTTAAATATAAGTTTAAGAACTCAGTTACACACAATCGAATAAGCATTTCATATACGAATATTTGTATAGGTATGTATTCATATAGCAAAATAGTAATAGGGAATGTATTTTCCAGATTCATTATTTTTAAAAATAATTTTGTTGTTTTTGTACGGGCGTATTGGTCAACAGTTAAATAAAAAAAAAGTATTTATTTGCTTTTAAAAGATTTTATTTTTACCAATATTTCGACAATAATCTATAGTCATCATCAGGGTACTATACAATTTAAATACATGTAACGATATTTTAGTACATATCAAGAAGAAATAGCTATAAAATATATTAATATCGAAAACATGAATTATGTATATGTACTAGCGGACCCGACAGATTTCGTTCTCTCAAAAAGATTTGGAATGTGGCAGTTTTTTGTTCCTACCTATTTTATAGTCGGGGCAAAAAAATCTCCTGAACAGGTCAGTCATCCTGGTGTGTGGGGTTCAGCTCGCGTGACCAAAGTATCTTCTCTTCCAAGAACTTTGGCCACCCTTCTGGGATCCACTAAAAACCCCGACTGGGATATCTGCCAGAGGGTTTCAAACTAAGAGGCGAACATAGGGTTCAAATCTGAAACTTAAAACAGTTCGATTCAAACTTGCACTATTATGAGTTAAATGTCGCGCTCGCGCTTCATGTGTTTGTGATATCCGAATTCTTTCAAGTTCATTTCGGTCGTCACGTTCTTGTGCAGTATGATTAGATCGGAAATAAGTTTGGTTTGTAGCATTTTGGGTTCTTCTACCTAAATTACATCGTCTTATAGGAGGCATATCGAATATAAATTGTGTCACATGCAAAAAACACGATATGCCATAAAAAGAAAACTCAGTAAAATATTAGTATGTATTTAAATTATTTACAGCTCATATATTAATGACAGTATTTAATTATTATATATGAAATTTGAAATATTTGAAATACTGATGATGTTGGTTAGACAACAGTAAGTGTTTGTAATGTAATTTGAACTTTATTGAATAGCAATACTTCGATTTGTTCTCGCCGTAAAAAACGCTTACCACGAAGGGGCAATTTGAGTTTCGAGAACAGGAAAAAATCGCACGGCGCCAGATCTGCCGAATATGGTGGCTGAGCGGTGACAATGGTGCCGTGTTTGGTCAAAAAGTCGCGTACAACAAGAGCCGTGTGCCATAGAGCATTGTCGTGGTGAAGAATCCAATTGTTGGCTTTCCACAAATCTGGTCTTTTCTTACGGATGGACTCACGCAAATGCCGCATAACGCCGAGGTAATATTCTTTATTGATGGTATGACCCTCTGGCAAAAATTCGTAATGAACAACACCGCGGTAGTCGAAAAAAACAGTGAGCATGACTTTAATTTTCGAGCGACTTTTGCGCGGTTTTTTGGGTTTTGACTCGTCATTCGCTTGATTATTGACTGGTTTCGACGCCATACTCATAAACCCATGTCTCGTCACCTGTTATGATAGGTTTCATGAATGTAGAGTCGTTTCCATGCTCAAAAGTCGTTTCTCCACACACGTTCTTTCGGTGTTCTTATTTCAAAAAATCAAGGTGTTTCGGTACAAGTCGAGCTGCAACGCGTCTCATGCTCAATATATCATATAGAATATGGTGAACAGATCCATTTGAGATGTTCAAGTCACAAGCAATCGCCTTTTCAGTCTTACGACGATGTTCCAGCACATTTTTCTTGATTTTTGCCACGTTTTCTTTGGTATTTGATGTTGATGGACGTCCAGAACGAGGCAAATCTTCGATCACTTCACGACCCTCTTTGAATTTTTTATACCACTGGTATGCCTCCACCATTTTCAATGCTTCAACACATGAACTTTCGTTCAAAACACAAAATTTCAAACAAACTTGTTGTTCAACTGAATTCTCCATAGTAAAAATCGCTAAATACACTTGAGGTAGTCTCACATTAACAGCTGCTGTAAACAAACTAATTGACAGATGGCGCTCAAATTTGTACCATATATCAAGAAAGGGTGTACCAACATAACGAAAAAAAAAAATTTTTGAAAAACGATCTATTTCTTAAGAAGTAGTTAACAAATGTTATAATTTGATTGGAGAGTTTTGGGACTTATACCATACTTTTATAAATTTGGGTATTCTGGTTTACTTTTTGATTTCTTTTTCCTTTCAAGATTCTATGAATTACTGGATTAGGGAAATTATTTTTCTTTAAAACCCCTTTGATATTGTTTCTTACGTCCTCGTGGAAAATTGTGTCACTTAACTCTAATGCTCTTATAGCCATATTTTTGGCAGTGTTCCTTATTACATGGGGGTGTTTTGAATTGAAAGTTTATAATTCGTCCAGAGGCTGTTGGGTTTTGATACCATTTTGTCATTATACGATTATTGTATCGTAATAAATGGATGTCCAAATATAGTAACTTGTCATGCTTTTCTTCTTCTATGGTGAATTTGAGGTCGTCTACATATTTAGTTAAAAGCCTCGGTTTCATTTCCATTATCTCCATGCATTGGTTCAGTAGTTCCTTCATTACAATATCTACAATAATTGGTGACGCAGGAGAACACATGGGCATACCTCTCCGTTGTTTATATATTTTATTATTTAATGTAAAGTAGTTGTTGTCTGTGAGACACAAATTTAGTATTTCGAAAAACAACGATTTTTTTATTTTTGTAAATTGTCTTATTTCGTTCGATTTAGTTTCTAAAAGTTTTAACGCTAAATCTAGGGATATGCTGGGTAGTAGAGATACGATATCATATCATTTTGGATATCATTTTCTTATCATCATAAATAACATATAGTTATTGTTCATTGTTTAAAGTCAAGTGCGTCTTAAATATTGGAGTTTGATTTGTTTGCTATATTTTTAAGAATTTATAGATGAGCAAATAGGTCTAAGTGGCATATTTTCTTTGTGGATTTTAGGTAATCCAGTATGAAATTGAAAAATAATAAACCCTAAATGTGTTCTATGTAAATATGATATTAATATGCAAATTTTAAACTAGAAGAAAAAATTAAAATCTTTCAAACCTTTTTTCTTTTATTTCACTTAGTGGTACGTTATCACATTATCTCATATTTTTTTGTAACTGTAGTAAAGTATATCTATAACTTAGAGATAAATCATCCTAATATACAGACAGAATATGACAGCATAGTACCTCAGTTCCTTTTTTTTAAGCCAATATTATTGGTATGCTTGCAAGTTCCTGAGAACAATTCAGCCGTCTTTTAGTCGTAAATTTATGGACAGATGCGTTCACTTTAGTCTTGAGCGTTTTAAATTTTAACACTCTTCAGGATTTAAAAGTATTTAAATGGATGAAGTGAACAAAAATCTATAAAAGATTTATAAATCGTAAAATACGGGATCGACTTAAGTCATGTAGTTCTGTTACATTATTTTTTCGTTTTCTTTTTTTAGCTGGTAGAAAGCATCATGGTGGTCCATTATACTATAGATACCATTTTGAACGTTTAGAAGAGGAAAGGCTATGATATTTAAAGTACTTAAGACGTCTTATACAAGATTTACGGGCTGCGCCTTATGGGCGCGCGATATAAGCATAGAAAATGTTCCATGATGTCGTCGTCCTCTAAATAAGGTGGATATAAGATGGTAGATATTGTGAGCGGAGCCAAGACGAAAGACGTATGTGGCGGAAGTGGTGTGCCAAGTAATAGCACCACTTCGTAGCACAAGAAAATATATAGATTTTTCCCTGATTTCAAGTAAGAACAACTAGTGTGCTTTCAGGCATTGTAATTGCTCCATTTACTGTTTGATTCGGAATAGACCGCATCATCCACAATTACTTTTGCAACAAATTTAAGCTGACAAAAGAAAAGATTCGGTTCACGAGTCAAGATTCGGTTCGGTATAATAAATTATATTTGCGAGTTCGTCTATTTTATGGTTCCTGATATACACTATATATACTCTGTGCTTGGAGTAGAATTGCAATCCATTTGTTACGAGAAACAAGGTATCAAATTGTTTTGTTGCTAAGCGTGTTTTAGCGCGTTTTCTCCTAATGTGGAGAGAGTACGTGTGGATTTCATTAGTTCCTTTTAATTTTATACATTTTGTTGTTATTTAGCTTCATACTTAATATTAGATATAATTATTTTATTGATATTTAAAATAACATATCTTGTGTTTGTATGGCGATATGTTTTGCTTAGTTGCATTGACATTTAATAGTTTAGAGTACCTATATTTTTTGTTAAACTATTTATGCCTTTTCGTTTATAAAAATGCTAATATATCTGTACAATGCCTAAAAACTACTTGTATGCTCGTTTGATTGTGGACAACTTTTATGCTGGTGTTTTATTTGCGGGGGTTGACTGTGCTTAGTGTGTTTTATGTGACAATAGTAATAAATGTTTTATAGTTTGAATGTCTCAGCCATCAAGAAGCAATACAAAAGAATATACGACATTTATATCACCTACTCAGAGCTAAACATACATCATAGAGAATTAATGTATTTAATGATTGCACCACAAAATGAAAGTAAGTGTAATAACAATGTTTAATAAAAATTTATGACTTTTTCCAATTTATTTAAGAGTAATAATAAATTTCGCTGACACGAAACATGTGCATCACTTTACTGCAAGCATTTAAAAAGCAACAAACAAACAATAATAATAATAATATATGTCAAATAATAAAAATCATAATAATATTTAAGCAAAATCTCAAAAAGAAGTACATTTGTGGATATGTTGAGGAAAATATATTGAAACAACAATAAAGTAATCAAACAAATTGTTAAATTTACGACAGACATTACTTTGGATGCACTTGCAATGAAACCCACGCGCCATACATGCGCCTGCTTGCCTGACTGGCTGCCTAAGTACTGCGTCCCAGCTCATATTTGGTACATAAAGAACGGAAACTACTGAAAAAATAATACATGAATGAATGAAAAACGAGCGGGTGACAAAAGAGTTTGTTAGGTGTATGAGATACTTTCAACTTCAGTGTTACGCGGGTTATGCTTCATTTTATGCGATACTAAAATCACAAAATCAGACAGAGTAAAGGAGAAAATCTCCTTCTCTGGCGCGCAACAATATATTTTTATTGTCAATTTATATGCTGCAATATGAGTAGCTGCTGGTTTGTGTTGCTGGTGTTGCTGGTGTTGCTGGTGCTACTGCAGTTCCATACAACAAACAATGCTTATGACCGCAACAACAACAGCAGCAGCAGCAGCAGAAAAGGCACCACATAAAACAAGTTGTACCATAAAAAATTTAGGAGTCATTAATACTGCACTTAACACGGATTTATCACCTCCTCCCACATTACGAAGCACAAATTATTTTCACATAAAGTTCACACAGTTTTAGAGCGGATAAAAAATCCACAATAAATTCAAAAAAGAGTACAACAGCAAAATCTGTCCAAATCCATAAAATATTAACACAAGAATGACAAACAATTAGCGATCTTTGTGGGTATAGTTCATCAAAGGGATTAATATAGGAGTATATCACTTAAAGAATTGATAAGCGTTAACCTAAGATTATAAGATTAAATATCAGAGACGAGCTTCCTTCTGAACAGTAGCGTTATTATCTCTCTTGTAAAAGCCAGACCTCTCTTGTGATTTTGAGTTGGTCTAACATGTAGTAGATAAGTCAGCTCATTTTTTATTTGTAGCATAAAAATTAGTGAATTAAGAGAACTCTTTAAAATTTTTATATCTTCGACGAATTTTTTAATTGACTATAGTGTAATAACTATTTTCCATAATTTTATGCACAAGTTGAAGTAACTTACTTATATATTTTTTCCTCTATAAATTTACTATCGCATAACTTACTAATATGTTACCTATGCCAATCGCCATTATTTCAATTTCTTTTATTTTAATCTTTAATATGAAAAACCATTGGCGAAAAAACCTTTACATTTAAATCAAATTCATAAACACATACTTGCTCAAATGCAATAAGAATTTATCATACCAAAATGCAGTACTAATTGCATATAGATTATAAGATGCATATGAGCGATATCCGCCTAGTTGCAAATCACGGAAATACAGGCATACATGTTCATAAGAAAACAAATAGACAACCATTAAAGACAGGCGAGCACACAAACCAATAACCAAATAAATAAAATATATTGGATAAATGAAGTTCAAGCGTAATATCAAATATCAAGCCGCATCGTGCGTGATGCAGTTATGTAGACTTTCGATGGCGCTACTAATTCCTATACAGTGCTTGGGCAAATTTCTCATGTTGTGAACTACTGTGGTATTAATTTTATGGTTTTAAAAATAAACGTAATACAGATTTCAAACAAACTATTGGTCTATTGGTTGCCATTAGCTGTGTAATACAACATAATTGAAAGGCCTCTACATGGCCTCTTACAGTACTGGTTTTTTTTAGTAATTCTCGGTTACTTTTTGGTACATAGCTCGCAATATTTTCGTTATAACTCGGCGGATATTTGTTGTTAGGAGTTTGAGTATTATCCGCATAATCGAACCCTTTCCGTAATCCGACGAAAATTAATCAGGAGTAACAAATTGTACTATTTACGTGATTAATGTAAAACTATACGTCTGAGAGATGTCTTGCGGAAAAAATCAATTGTGTCACTTGTGGTGACATCTATTAAAAATACATGTGTTCAACTTTTATACTGGTTTGTGTGGGATCTTAATTCTTTTCAAAAAAGTATGGATCTATTAAACTTGCAGACCAAATACTCCACCTTTTTCTTTTTGTAAATGTAATAATCTTTCAACAGCTACTTATAATTTTTTACTTGATTAATTTAATATATGTGACTATTTTAATTGCCGAGATGTCTAGCCAGCAAAAAATGACTCCTATTACAAGAGATGCGAAAACT